ATAATGGCTCAAGTAAAGAAACCAAAAATCCAGATGAACTGGTTTAAAAGAGCAATTATAGAAACACCCATATTCTGAAAATGTATGCTACTAAGAACATTTTTACAAATCACTAGGTTTCTCCACTTTGCAAATAACGATGCAGCTGACAACATTGATAAATTTCGTAAAGTGACACCTGTGATAAACTATTTTAATGAAAAATTTAAAGTATATGTAATGAAAAAAAATATCGCGATCGATGAATCACTGATGAAATTTAAGGGACGTATGTCTTGTAAACAATTCAATCCTTCTAAAAGGGCAAAGTTTGGGATTAAATTTTATAAACTCTGCGAGTCAGCATCAGGTTACTGCTATAATTTTAAAATATATTCAGGAAACAATAAAACGAATTTTGATTACAATGCATCTGAAACTGATTTTGATTACAATACATCTGATCTGAAACTGTTGTGATGGAGTTATTGCAATCAATACTATAGATGCCTTACATATAGATAACTGGTATTCTTCACCAAAATTTTTTTCTAACTTTGGTTAGAAATGGAACAAACGTTCTTGGGACAGTACGTTGACACAAAAAAATTATGCCAGGAAATTTTGTTAAAGCAAAATTTAAAAAATGAGATTGTATCATAAGAATTTGCAATGGCATACTAGTGTTGAAGTGGAAGGACAAGCGAGACTTCCAACAAAGTTCGAAAGTGCAGAAATGATTGTGCGAAACGAAAGTCATCTAAGCCCTATTTTCAAACCAAAATGTATCATAGATTATAATATGGGAATGATTGAGTGGTATTCTAATGAGCTTCAATTTCTAGAGGAAAAAGAATCTGTGGATTTGCGAATATCACGACTAAAACCGATTCACGCTTCTTGGCTTGTGCGCGTATTTAACAGTGTTGAAGCCAAACATGAGATAATTTTGAATAGCTTCAAAGAAGCTGGTATAAATAGTATTCTAAGTGAATGAGCTGCCATCTATTAATTTTATTGTTTTATATTCGAGAAATATAGTTGTATATTATTAAAAAAATAGTTATAAGAAAGAAAGTTGTCAAGAAAAATAAATCATTAAATTTTGGATAAGTGAAAAATTTCTGATTTTTTATTATTAGAGAAACTGAATACATAAAGAAAATTATTCTTCAAAGATATGTGCAGTTATTATTATGTATATTACCCAATTGTTTGATTTCAGCATTTACTATAATTTCCCATTTCTATTTCCTCGTATGATAGAGTTACTGAGCCAGATTAAATTGAATTGTACAATCTTTGACCACTATTCCACATTATTAGTTTGAATTTGACTGTTCTTGTTTAATTATGTCACCGTGAGCTGTAATTGATTTTGTTAGCATCAGAACATGCCTTTATGTTTTAAGTTCTTTTTTAAAAAAGAGGCTTATTTAAATTTTTGTCTGATATTGCAGTTACTTTCAGACATAGCAATAATATGCTTCACGTCTGTCAGAGGGTTTTGGACTATTTAACTTTTGCCAGATCAAATAAACCCTCATTGGTACATTGTGGAGAGGTTGACAAGTTAGGAGATAAAGCACGCAGAAACTAGCGAGAGCACTGGTTTGCATATTGAGACAAATCTGTAATTGTTAGAAAAGATGCTTCAAGAGATGGAAATCGATATAAACGAGCCAAAATGTCTGGGAAGGCTTCAAATTAAAATGACGGATAAATATTTTGTTGAGTGTTGTTGTTACAAAACATAAATGTTATGTACCTTTCAATGTGTAAATATCCTAATATCGTTCAAAAATCAATGCTCTTTCTCTCGCAGTTAACTGCGAGAGAAAGAGCTACATTGCGTGAAATTCATTCTAACCCGGATATTATTATTTCAAAGGCCGACAAAGGTGGCCAGATAGTCGTCATGGATAGGAACACTTACATCGATGGTGTCACTAAACTCTTAAACGAAGGACCATATAATCCGATCCCTAAAGATCTTTCACCTTCGGACTTGTCAAAAATAAAAACTGCGATCAAATCTTCGCAAATCATTTCAGCAACTTAAAACATTCATTATCCCATCTGTTGCGAATTGTGCCAGATTTATGCTCTTCCCAAAATTCAAAAAGTATTCCTTTCTGCCCTACTGTATCAAATTTAGCTACTGCCTTGTATCCATTAGCTAAATATTTAGTTTCTAGATTTTCAACTCTATTAAACAATAACATTACACCATAAAAAATTCAATAGAGTTTGTAAAAAAGGTTAAAACATTTCTCCTAGAAATTTACTTATGGTTTCTTTTGATGTAAAAATCGTTATTTGCCAATGTTTCAGTGGAGGGTGTATTAAGATGTCTAGAAACCAGACATCGCGAATTCATTCTCTTCCATCGAAATTGATCAGCTAATTTCCTCACTCAAACTCTGTTTGAAACAAACGCATTTTGTTTTCCAAAATAAATATTACAAGCAAACTGAGGGATTAGCTATGGGAAGCCCCCTCAGTCCATCCTGACATGTGTTATTATGAATCAAAATTATTTGAAACTTTAAACTTTCAGTATGTTCTGCTACGTAAACGATACTTTTACCCTGTTTGAAGGTAAAAAATGATTTAAATAAGTTCTTTCAAAAATGAATTCTATTGATCCTGCTATTCAGTTCACTTTTGAAACTTGAGACTTGCAATTTTCTTCCACTTCTCAGCATTCTGGTCACACGTAACACATCCAACTTCAGTACTACGGTTTGCCTTCCACCACACTTTAAATCATGTCATCCGACTAAACAAAAGTTAGCTTCATTTTTTCCTATGTTTTCGTACTCTTCAGGTTTGCTTTCCAAACTATCCCTTGATGAAGAACTAAATTATTTAAAAGCAATAGCTATTGACAGGAGCTTTTCACCCAACATTATTAATCAAGCAGTTAAAAAAATTCTCATCTCAACAGACTAAAAGGCACACTCTTGTTTTAGGGGATATAAAAATTCTATTGTCATGTCTTCTTCTATGAATTAGCTATAAAGTTGCACGTGTTTTGCAGAAAGAGAAATTTTACTTTCGGTTGTTATTCTCCCATCAATAAAATTCCGAGTTCCATACTCAAGGACCCCATTCCGGATATGAATTCCTGGGGTATTTACAGGATTCCTTGCCAGTGTGGTTTAATTACATTGGCCAAACTAAGAGAGCCTTAAAATTTCGCGTCAAGGAACATGAGGCATATGTTAGAAAAAAGGGAAAACACAGAAGTCTTCTGTTGTGCTCAACATTGTTGGTCCGAAAAACCACACTTTCAGTTTTTCTGCTGCCAAAATTATTCAAAAAAACATCTTCCATTGGAGAACTGGATTTTCTAGAGGCATTTCACATTCATAAAAATCTTTCTGTTCTAGTAACGATCCTAATTCCAATCCAAATTTGCCTTCGGCCTTTAAAGAAATTATGTTTTAGTTCTGGTTTCACCAAACAGAGGCGCCACTTGCTTATTCTTGTCCAGGCTTTCTTATCTTATCTAATCATATTTCCTATCTGTTCATTTGCGGTTTTGCAGCTGAAGGTGGTGGTTCGGTAAACCATCGAAACTAGTCCTGTGAAAATTTGGTAAATATAACGCTGATTTTTGTTGTTTGACTTCTGAATTAATACTTTTTGTTGTTTAATTTATAAAACATGTTAGAAAATAATCTAAATAAATTTATATATATGCATTTTTCAAGTTTTGTAAAGGAGGGGTGAATGATCTAGCAGTGGTGAAAGGAGTGCTGTAGATACTCTTCAGGGTCTCTGTCACAGTAAAAACTAGCCAATACTCTTATACCGCTATGACTAAAGGTCTTTTGTTCAGCTATGGTGCAAAATCCTTTTCTTTACTCCCTTTTTTTTTTCCCCCTTTCTTTTTTAAAATGTGGTCCTTTTTCTTTACACACCATCATATCTTAGTTATCTGTTTCTTGATCTTGGACTTATAAATGAAAAGATCTGTAGCTATCATTTTTCATCAAACCATGTCACATGCTAACACCACCACATTGGACATAAACCTTTGGCCATAGGTCTGAAAAAAAAAAAAAAAAAAGCATTAGTACTTATATCATGAAAACTTTTCTGAAGTAGTCTTCCTCTCATAATATTGTGGGTGTTGTTCCTTTTACAGCTGGTGTAATAATCACTTAGAAATCTGGGGTTAGTGATTTTGACTTGCAATACAACAACTGGTTGTCAGATGACATTGTACCCTGAGGTGCCTTGATAGATGTCATCAGATTACTGTTCCCCTGTTTTGAAATTTTCCACACACATGAAAAAAAAGACATGAAAATAATTCAGCACCTTTGTAATTTATCGGCCTGCTTCAAATCTCTCAAGAGCCTACTGTTACTGAGAATTCTTTAAGTGCGCCTTCTTTGAATCATTGTAAGGCAAATCTAATTCAGATTTTACTCAAGTAGCTAAATCCATGTAACATTTGTAATTTACATCTGTTCTTTCTGGCCCACTCTCTGAATTCACTACAAAATGTTTCCATGGTTTTCCCTAGCAATAATGTAAATACAAGCCCATTTCCCTTAAAAAGACCTTCCTGAAGGGATCTCTTCTACTTGGTAAATAACCCTGAAGTGCTTTCAAACCAAATCCAGCTGTAAAATAGTATGGGATAGGGACTTTTTTTTTTCTGTACACTGAAACGTTTGGTCACATACCTTTTATAAGTCTGTTTTCCATGTCTGACTAAGAAATAGTTGTTATATCTGTATCCCTACCCCTAAAGATAATAGCAGTTTTCATTTAATGAAATCTGTGGTTACACTTATTATATCAGAGTTTGTATTTCCATAAATTTTGATGTACTATGTATGTTTACTTATGTAAACTTTAATAACATGATTGTGCATATACAAGCAAGTTTGTAATAAAATTCTAATTTAAATGTAGTTCACAATTTCTTTATTTTGTGATACATTAGCCTGAAAATTATTGGCTTTATTTGTGTCTGTTTCATGTGACTTTTTTCCCTACAGATGAAGAATCAGAGGAAGAAACCAAGCATCACCCAATTAAAAATGTTGCTGTGAAAAATATGATACTTGAGAAGAAGAAGTCTCGCTACTTTTGGCAATACAATATCCAAGCTAAAGGACCGAAAGCTCCAAAAATCAAATTAACAGAAAAATCTAGCAGCCTTCATGACTTTGCTGATCCTATCTTTAGTTCAGATTGTCCAGTAGATGGTGTAAAACATGCTGGAAAAGCTAGGCGAGGAGATGGCAATGATCTCACTCCTAATCCTAAAAAGTTATATAATATAGGTCTGGAACTAGAGAAGCTGAATTCTGTTATAGATGGTTTGATTCCAGTAAATGAACTACCTTTGAATGCCAGGTCAGACTCTAGAAAGGAGAAAAATAAGCTTGCCTCCCGGTAATTATCTAATTTCTGTGTTATTCAATTTTTGAACTATTATACTATTTGATGATGGGTTTGGCTATTCATATCATCATAAACTCTAATGCAATTCAAGTATCTTTTGAGGATTGAGTAATTCACATGTGCATATGCATTTCCTCCGTTATTGCAGCAGTATTTTCATTATTGTAGACATTTTAAAGATTTAAAACATTTAAAAAAACCTTGTTTTTAGATTTGATATTATGTACTGTTTTCAACTTTTAAAGAGTGTTATTCCCTAATTTTCATATATGGTTTCCTTATAATACAAATGTATCCAAAATTTAAGAATGAACTTTGTTATGCAGTATTTCACCACAGTATCTAGTGAAAAAAAAAAAAAAAAAAAAAAAAAAAAAAAAGATTTGTTGTGATTTGTTAATTGCTGCATTCCATTTCAAGGTAAAAATAATTCCTACTGCAAAATCAAATAGCGTGGGCATTGCTAAATACTTTTCATCAATTCTTCACTTATCTTAACATCTGTGTGTAACTTTTCTGGAAAAAACTTATTACTGTTGCTTTGATTAGTTATTTTCTATAAGTTATTATCTTCTACCAATTGTCAGAAAATAAATAACTCACCATATATATCTCTATTCTTGTAGTCTTTGCACATTAAAATGTCTTTGTCCTTAAGTTTTGTACCTCTGCATATATATACTAATTAGTATTTGTAAGAGAACATAGAATTATTTTTTGTGAAATTCTTCAACATGTAACTTCATATTACATTACAGTATGTGCAAAAAGAATTTTATTTTTTCCCCAGAACTTTAAAAAAATAAGAATATTTGCTTAAATAATATTTTAGTAAGAAAACATTTTATAAATTAATTTAAAATAGACTAGGTATATGAAGCATTTCATTTCACTTTGATTCTGAGTTTTCTTGTTAAATCCACATTGTGTTTTTATGGCACATATGTTATTACAGTTTGGCACAACAGTAGTTTAACATATATGAATGCAAATGCATGAGATCTAAAATTTAGTAGTCTAGGGTGCAAAAAGTGTTATGTGTTGCATAGATAAAAATAGCAGCCAAGTGCAGAAAAACGTAATATAAATTATGTTAGGTATGACATTTTATATGGAATTTTTCATTTGCATAAAAAAAAAGTTCTTAATTGGCTTACAGGATAGAAATTATGTGCTTAAAAAGTATACCACCATTCTGTGTAGGTGCCCAGTGCAAAGCAATTGTACTAATGAAATAAATGGGACCACATATTAACTATTTAAGGCATTTCCTCAAAACTGTTCGTTGAAATTAAGAATTTTCATTTAAACTGCAATTGAATTGATTTTGTACTTCAGATTTCTATATTTTTAGAATATGATGCTTTTAAGAAAGTACTATGCATTATCTTAGTGCTTTCATCCAAAAAGTAATACAGTATACATTCATACTAATGCTTGAATGTAATGTCTTAATTTACGATATACTCACTTTTTTAAAACAAAGCTAGAGTTAAAAAGAAGTCTCAATAGCTTAAAGTGTAAAATTTTAGAAAAACTACAGCAATAATACTAGACCATGATACGAGGTCAAATTTAACTTTTGAACACCAAAAAACATACCTCATAAAAAATATAACTGATATTTTCAATTCTTTCATCTGTGATACTGACGGATGAAAAGCAAGTGATTTATCACATGCATAAAGGTAAAATGAAATGTTAAACTGTCTTCCTGGTGATTATGCTGTCAACGTTGCAAAATGCACTTTGAATAAAATTTGAGGTAACTGAAAATATTTAAGTATAACTTCCTAGATAATGGTCAAAAATTATATACCTGAAATTCTTAAAACAAATGATAGCTGAGCTTTATAAAAATATTCATACAGCAATAATTTTACTAATGGGATGGTTACGACTGATTTTTGTAGTTTTTATGATATTCTTGTTGACTGAATATCCCAAGTAATAACAGTTTCCTACATTTAACACTCTTTTTAGAAATAAGAAAGTAGTGTTGATAAAAAATTTCTCATTGCAGATGGATTTATAATGAAATTTTAATTATGCTTAGGATGCAATCAACTGCTTCATATGAACAAAATCCCTATAATATAGATACAGAACCCCTATTATATAGATACTGATCTGTATTTCTAAACAACTTGAATGAATTGTACTATGTTCTTACATGTGATAGGTTTTCTTTTGAATGTGTAGCTTTCCATGTCAAGTAATTTTAGTTCTTTTAATGCAAACAAAAAAAGTGAATAAAATATAGCTATGCCTTTTAAATATATTTTTCTTTTTGCCGTCTTTTGTAAATTTTAATTTAATAACAGATCTTTCACTTAAAAATGTGTGCACTGAAAATGTTTCCCTTCATTCTCTGATACCTTTCTGTCGTACCCACAGTATCTCAGAAAATGTTTAGGAATTTGTAACCCTTTTGTTTAGTTCTCATTGATATCTCCATCTGAATTTCATTTAAAAATATTTATTGTTTTTATGCTTTTTACTTTATTTACTGTAAAAATAAATGGCCTTTCATACTTCATAATTTTAAGTTTGTTTGAATTTGTGATCTAAATATTATTATTTCAGAAAGTTCCCACGCATTTACAAAATATGATCTGTACTTAAAATATGTGTAGTTAAAATATGATCCATTAAAAAATATGATGTGTTATTTATCTTAGGGCTTGCAGGCTGAAGAAGAAAGCTCAACATGAAGCTAATAAGCTGAAGCTGTTTGGACTGCAGCAAGAGCAAAGTATGTGAAAAGGAAATTTCATTTATTTTAATTATAAATCTCATTTTCAAAATGGTTTTGTTGTTTAATATAAAACTTTATTTATTATAAATGGTAAAGATGGGTATTGATCCATTCAGGTTAATTATTATTCCTTTGTTTTCTGTTCATTCTATAATTAATTTTTTAACACTCCTTAGAAAAAGATTTCTAAGCAGAGAAAAAATACCATTCAGAATCAGAGTTTATCTTCATTTTTAAGTAGTTGTAAATACTTTGTTATCAGCATAAAACAAATGTAACATAGCTACAGTTAATTTTAAATGGATTGTTTTTCTCTTTCCCCCCTTTTTTTCTATTGAAACTTCTGTTACGGTTTCTCAAGAAAGCTTTCCTTTTCTAAATCATATAGTTGTCTTTGTTTTCTGTATCATTAGTTTTGGGTTAAAGTATGTTTTTGTACTACTGTATGGTGATCTGAACAATCTAGTGCTCACATCAAAAACAAGTCAACATCTTGGCTGTGGAGGCAAGACAGTATTGACCCTGAGCCTTAAGTGCATGTTCAGTTCCATGGTACAGTGCACGGTTTATATATTGCAGAGCTCGATTTGACCCCCTTCAAGGACACTGAACCAAATACCAACATCACTATAACACGATACCAGATACCAAACTGCAACAAAGCAAGCAAAAGCTATTTCCTGCACATTGATTGTCAGCGAATGTGACAAAAGAATTTGGTTCTGGAGACCTAGGTAAGATGACATGATGTGCTCTTCCCAGCATGCCCCATAATGCAGCAGAGGACTTAGGCATTCCCACAAGTTATGACCTGAGCTTTTCAACATAAGAATCAATCGCATCAGCTTATGAAGCTTGTAACCAAGCCCATGGCAGAGTTGCCAACTCTCCCGATTTAGGCAGGAGACTCCCGATTTTTGCCCGCTCTCTCGCCAACCCGATTTACAATATATTTCTCCCGACTTTTTCTTATTCTTAAAATTTCTCACGATTCTTATGGAACTTGGCTTAATACTTCGTTATACGGGGGGGGAAGATATGGGGATTTTGGATGTCTAAAAGCAATTGAATTTTCTCTAGATTATATCTAAAACAAAACCTTGCGAATCAGATGAGAATTTCTGCTTTGTGAGTGAGAACATACGTATCCAGAAACGTCGTTCTCCAGTCCCCAATAGGCATCAAGCTCCACTGCGTGTCATCTGGCATATATTAGCCAATGAGCACAAAGCAAGCTCAGGGCTGTTATTTGGATGTTCTTTAGTTATTTCATTCATCTTGTCCTGAATTGTGTGTACACATGCCTTCGAGAAATAGTTTTAAAATTATCGTCTTTTGTTATGTCTGTGAGAAAGGTGAAATACTTGTGTACGTTTCAAAAATCGTGAAGAAAGAGGAAGATTTGGTAATAGGAGCTGCAACTACAAAAGTAATGGAAGAACTTTCAGAAGAAGACAAAAATAAGTTTTATCTTCATGTTAGAAGTTACTTCTGTCGAGTATGTGATTACATACTACATAAATTTCCAGTCAACGATGAAGTGATTTTACAAGCTAAAGTTGCTGATGTTTCTGCTCTAGCAAATGCATCTTTTTCTGATATAAGGTACTTTTTGAACAGTTTTCCTGTGTTACTTTAGTCATGAAAGATGATGATATTCGTGTTGCCACTGATAAATATTGCAGTCTCAATTTTGCAGTTTACAATTACAAAACTTGGATGTAGTTATAAAATCAGCTAGGAAATACACCCAGTGGAGTTTAATTTGAAAACTGAAAGGTGCTGATGGAATTTTAAAATATAGTAAACTGTCTAGAATTATGTTGGCCATCTTGACAGTTCCCCCCATAGTAATGCAGAGTGTGAGAGTATTTTCTGTGTTGTTGCGAAAACAAGGACTAAATTTAGATCTAATATTAGTGATGACACATTAGAAAAACTTTTATTAGCGAAAACATGTCTATGTGGCAATTGCTATGAAGTTTCTTTTTTAATGAAAGCAAAATCTGCCACTGTTCATAACATTTGTATGAAAACTTATTAAAGTGTCCTCTAATTTATTTTTTATTTTTTTTATTTATTTTTTTTTCCTTAAACGATGCAAGTAATAAAAATGTTTTTTATGTGTAAGGTGTTTTTGTGTTGCTTGCATTTAAGAGTTAGTAACTATCTAAAGTTAATTCATTATTAAAAACTATATTTTTATCATTTAAAAAGCCTTTTTAACATTGTGGAAAATTTCCTGATTTTTGAGTGTCATAGGCAAGTATGCCATGGCATTGTCTTAATTGTGACAACCAGCTGCATCCTTCTCTATCACATGTTTATACTGAAGGGAAGTTATACAACCATTTAGAAGAGGTGTAGGAAACAGATTGACATATTTATTCCCACTCTACAAGTACATTATGCAGTTTTTGCATCGCAGATCTCACTTTGATTCCCAAGGTCACATAATTTCAAGGACACTGAAATGATGATGTATTTACACTTGCTCTATAAGTAGACGTGACCAAACAGTGGCAGAAAGCGGTGTCACTCCTGGTTTGTCAGAGTTGTATTACAAAGTAATCTCAAGTAAAAGTTAGTTTAATGGTACAAGGCAAAATGTTGAAAAATTCTGTCTGTCTCTGTGTGGATTCATTCATCAATGTAGATAGATAAATATATATTGGGTCATATAAAAAGTCTCCACGCTTTTTCAGTACATTTTTTAACAAAAATTTTCTTTATTGAAAATCAATTTTAATCATCTACATATTGATCATTATTATCTATGACCTTTGCCCAATTTTTTGGGTAGCTTCATAATTCTATCAATGTGGTCCATCAAAACTTTCCCACCAAGTTTTGTCAATTTGTTCAAAATTTTCAAATCAATTTGTTCAGTCATCAAAACTGTGCGCAGCATGCATTGTCATCATGGAACACAACTCCCTTTCTGTTGGCCAAGTCTGGTCACCCTTTCTGGACTGCTTTGTTCAAATGGTCAACTTGTGTACAGTACAGGGCCGAATTGATGGTTTCACCAGGTTCTAGCAGCTCATAATGGACAATTCCCTTCCAATCTCGATAACAACATTTCAGTAATGGAATCAAGCAAACCACTGCTGGGTTTTTCGTTCACTCAGAGCATTCTCACTGTATACTTGACAAATTTTTTGGCATATTAAGTGTTTTTACCTCAGTACTTCACAAATTTTTTGGCATATTAAGTGTTTTTACCTCAGTAAAAAAGCATCACATGCCATATTTCTTTAGATATTTCACTCATTTCAAAATAAATATAACTTTTGACACGAGCAACAAATTAGAAAATGTATCTTCACAAACAATGGAAGCTGAATGTCACCTTTTAAGAACATGTTCGTTTGAGACAATTGGGTGAGTTCTGCCAGATATACAAGCATCAAAACCATCTAGTGGCAAAAAAAGCACGGAGACATTTTATATGACCCAGTATTTTAAAGTTTTAATTATTGATTTCTGTCAGTGTGCTTTTAAAAGTGTTTCAGAATAAAATTCTGTTGGTAATGAAATAGAACTTAAAATTAATTTCAGAAAATTACAAAGGCTTTTTAATTACTGCAGCTGATTGTTAACCAAATCCATACTATCCAGATGCTGTATTTAATGTAAGTGTAGTTTCATTCACCTGGTTTTTGAGGTTGTATAATTAATGTTTGAAAGTCATGAAACATGCAATAAAATGGGCTTTTTTCAGGTTTAGTCTGCAAAATTATTCTTGATGATCATCAGAAATAAATATTAATTCAACCTTTAAAGAATTTTATAATACTTTCACATGCCATCAGGTCCAATAAAAGTTGCTAGAAACACATGCTATGGTGGTTGCTATTCTTAGTTGCACCAGGTTCTGCTTTTGGCAATTGAATGGACTGATTGCATTGAGTTTTAATAGTTTTCCTATTGTGAAACATAAATACAAACCAGTTTAACATAAAAGCCCTCCACAAAAGCATTTCTTCTCTAAGGCAGGTAGTCATCTTATAAGCTATGTCATATTAAATAATTCAAATCAAATCACTGGTGTTGTTGAAGCTGTTGTCATTATTAATAAGTTTCACTCATATCTGCATATCTTTCAACTCCTGAGATGTAAAACTTGGAGACTAATTGGAGGCATGGACTCTGAGATGTAGAATGCTTCTTTCCTTTGTGCTAAAACCTTAGTTTTGGGCATTGATGAAGACAGCTTGAATTCAGATTCTATGGAAAAAAAAAAAAAAAAAAGACATCAGGGCATGAAAAATAAGCATCTTCAGTGTAAGTTTTAGAAGCATATAATTTAACATTTATGTGATATTTTGTCATTACAACTTTGCTGGTATGAAGTGATTTACCCTCCTTTCTTAACATTTCACTCTTGTAGTCACACAAAGACACTTGTATGAAGAATCATCATTTTAAATAGACTTTGCAGTCCTCAGTAATCAACATATATTTCCTCAAGCATGTTGGACTGATCCTTAGTGCATAGAAAGTAGAGCGCTGCACTGATTTTTTTTCTTCCGTGATGCATGTGTTTTATAAAAGTGTTAGGTTTATGAAAATCAAATTGACAGTTCATTCGAATTGCACACCATAAAATGCTTCAAACTGTGTTGTGCATTTTCAAATAATATTTTACTTGAGGAAAAGCTTGCAAATTCACCTGGAAACAACAACATGTATTGAAAAAATGTGTAACAGTAAGAATTTCTTAAGGTGATATTATAATATGCGTAGTCAATTGTCAACACTATACTAATATATCAACACTTTACTGAAGAAATTTTCTTTTATTCATAATATTTCTTTCAATTCCTTTGGTGGACTGAAATATGAAAGTATAATTCTGTAGCGCACATTGCGTATACTTTTCAAATGAGGGAACTAAATAATAATAGTAAATTGTGTACATACACCTGTGGTGTTGATGCTTTTTCTGACTTTTATATCAGGTAGGAGCAAGAATCTGACAGTAATTTAGCACT